TGACAACTTCTCCATTCTTCTCTATCTTTCCCTCTTTCATATACAGAATCTCATTCCGGCGTTCGGACGGATCGTCCCATTGTACTAGCACCTATCTCTGTTTCTCTTAACATTGCACTAGTAACACCTATCGACTCGTATTGTTCATTTGTTATCTCTTATTTTTTCTACATGTCTATTTCAGCTTTTTTTATTGGGATACAATATCTTGATAAGACCCTTCATGTCAGACCGAAACTGCAATATTTCACTGAAAATATGCTGCAAATTACAACACTTACTTGCGATACTTACTGGCTATGGCTCACTGACTAAAGTTAATTTTTCCCTATAACATAGAAATGTTTCGTTTCCTTGCAACAGGACTGATGGGAAGAGGGCAATTTCGCAAAAGAAAAAAAAAGGAAGAAATCGATGAGTTTACAAAAAAAGAAAATATCAATATCATTTATGTCTTGTGTGTCCTTTCAGTGAACAGAATCGGCCCAAGGAGTCAGTGATCAGAATCGGCCCATGAAGCAGTGAACTGAATCTGCCGAAGGAGTCACGTTAATCAAACGTGCCAGAACTGCGAAAAAAACCGTTTTTAACCCATCCAAATATAAAAAACCCTTATCTTATGCAGTGCTAAATGTGTTATAAATAAAGTTTTGAATAGGAGCAAAAAATAAAATTTGATGTGAGCTTGTCACTAAGAACAAAATGACAGCTTCACTCACTAACGAGGGGCTTAACAGTTAAGACGTATATGACTTAATGGACCGAAACATCTTAACTCAGCTGCTTTTCCTACCATTTTTCTCCTACTATTTTTTCCTCTTTATATACACTTCCCTTACATTGGCACCCATCAACATGGATGCTACAAGCGGCTTAACAGTCCACACTGTATACGCATGAAAGAAAACCAAGATTCGAAGCGCCAGTGAAAAAACACTGCATGAGGCGTAGCACAGGAGCTGAAAAGTAGCGGTCTGTCCAGAGGAAAAGGCTAGACCATAATACGTGAAGCTCCCACATCTTAACAGTACTGAGGGATAACTCTGAGAATTCTGGTAAAAAGTGCTTTTGCTGAATTACACCACGAAAATGTCCAGCTTCAAAATCATGTAGAGGGCTCAGTATCAATAAACAAATGCATCATTTATTTCAGACGCAAATTACCCTTTTATAAACATCACTGCCCAACGACCAACCAAGGAACCGAACTTTCGATGGTCCGTGTAGTGCAGAGGACAACTACGCACTGCGCTAGAGCAACTGCCGC